GCGGCGCTGTGGCAGCTGCATCCTTCTCACTTAGTGAGGTGTCTCTACCCTAGAGGGTCTCAAAGGGGAAAAAGAGGGACCATTAAGGGGGACCCCTACCCTATAATGGGCTATATAGTGGGTATATACTAGCTATATTAAGGGTATATACCTAGGGGTCCTTATTAAGGGTCCCTCCTCAATTAGTGAGGTGTCTCTACCCTAGAGGGTCTATATGAATGGTTGTCAAAAATAGGGTCCCTTTTTGGGGTACCCTAGTATTATTAGTAGGGACCCAAAAAGGAACCATAATTTTGACAACCACCCAGACTAGCATTGTCCGAGTAGGTCCCCGAACTATAAATTGGATGATCTTTTGGGACCCAACGCCACAATGGCAGCATGCACGGACCAGCTGGGCGCCTTGCTTCAGAGCTTGCCTATCGATCTAGCGATTTGCAGCAATATAACCACAACATGTTGGCAACGCTGTCGATGCACTGTGTAAATGTAGCACATTATGCAATGTAGCAAATTACACTTGATGGCATATACAGACATGAATAATTACATATATGTATACACACACGCACACATCAGTAGGTGAGCAACCAGTACGGACGTAGTTCACAAGAGACCACCTTTTCGGTACTCTAAGGCCTGATGTGGGACATGTGGGTAGTTCTCCAAACTGTGGTCCCTTTTTAGGCCTCCGAAATAGCACGGCACCCTCATAAGAAAGACCCTATCAGAAAAGGACCCTATCAGGGACCCGAACTTAGAACCACCCATGTATGCTGAGGAGATGCCAAACTCCGAAGTCGACCCTGAACCCTAAACCCAATGACCCTAAACCCTAAACTACCCCAAAAGCCCCAAAGGCGTTGCATCAGAACATCATGGTCCGCCCTGTGTCGGGCACTCTTGATACGTTCGGCAGCTAGGGTTCAGGGTTTAGGGTTCATTTTTTAGGGTTGAAGGCCATTGTGTACCCCATGCAAGAAGCAGGCATGAATAACCCTCCGAGTCCAAGTATCCCAATAATTAGTAGTGTTTAGAAACCCTGGTTCAATTGCTCTGAAAGGTTTTCGGACCTGATACACTGCTATTTGGGTATTTGTGCCCTTACAACAAAGGAAATGAACTACATACAAGACAGCATGGAGTGAAGAATTGAGCTAGAACGCCGGCACATGCAACGACCACAAGGGAACATTCAACAAACAGCACCTCTCGGAGAACGGGGTCAGTTATTTGGATGCCAGATAAAGAAAAACACAAAATCCACACAGATCCTACAAAGCAACTTCACCGAAACTTCAGGTCGTGGTATACAGTAGTGCTAGGACAAAAAAACCCACAAGGAAGAGGCTCCCAAGACATACCAAGGACAAAGGTGGCAAAACAGACAGGGACCAATTTTCGGCAGCATGTGGAACTTCAGGTTTAGGCCCAAAGGGTCCTAGGTAGTGTTATGGGGGATACTTCCCCAAATCATACCTGGACCCTAAAGAACCTACCTTTTTAGGGCTCCTTATTTATGATTTCCTTATATAAGTCCCCAAAAGCGTAGGTTATTGGGGGTTAAGGTAATAGTAATTCCCAATATAGCAACCCTACATTCGACTATATAGGTACTTTGGTCCCTTTAGGATGCTGTTGGGAATGTTGGGCATGGCAAGGTGTCGGCCATCATGCCTTAGTAAGGGTCCCTTAAAGGGATCTATAGGGTTCCTTCAAGGGATCTATAGGGGTTTATTTAGAGGATCATGGGACTTAGTAACTAGGGTTATGATTAGGGTACAGTAACTATACTTATAGTGCCTGCATCCCACGCCCGTTCTTCACTTGAAGGAACACAGGGTACTAGGACGGGGTAGCAATGGGTCTCGGGACAATCAACTTCTTTTCCTTGCCGAAATGCCTTTGTGGAACAAGCCTGCAGCTCTTACTCACATGTCTTCCTGATACCCAGAGGGTCCATATACACTGAAAGACCATCCCTGTTATGGTTTTGGGGACCTAATTCCATAATGGTAGTAAAGGTGGACCCTCTGGGATACCCTTCTCCCATCACGGCCTCCTTCTTGGCCTCAGGCGGCGCAGCTGGTGCCACCGGGTCCTTCTGGCGTGTAGGCGAGAAACGCAAAACCCAAGGCGTTTGAGGCAAGTTGAATCTTTTGAGGTCTACTCTTGCTTTACGGGCGCTACCAATAGTCTTCATTATAGTTCCTTTTTTTGGGATACCTTAAAGGATCCCCAACACAAACATGGTTAACCCCCCCAAAAAGGAACTGCAATGGAGACTACAGGTAGGGTTCACAACTTCAGATCGCGGCTGACGATGCTCTGGCTTGCGGGCACCCTAAACCCTAAACCTCAAACCCTAAACCCTAAACCTCATGGAAGCACCGTCTCTTCCGTAACTCGGCGAATGAGCCGGCCCTGGTACACCTGGACCTTATAAAACCTTGCCCCAAGGGTCCAAAGGAGCCAATAAGTAGGGTTGTAGGATAGTAGTTATGTAGGTTAGGATTTTGGAGAGTATATGATTATCAAGTACTTGGACCCTTGGGGTTCCTTTTTAAGGTTCCCTATTCTGATTTCCCTATATAAGGTAGGTTATTTGGGGCTCAGGCACGGCCTACCTTGAGGGTCCACTTACATGTCTAGTAAAATGAAAGCTTCTGACTAGGCCCTTTTGTCCTTATAAGAAGGCTACCCTTTTTCCTGCTGTTTGGTTTTAACACGGGAACCCGAGAAAAGGGGAAAAGGGTACTACTCAGGAACCTAGACTACGTACTGGTATTTCGTAGGGACATGGGTTGAAGTTGCGGGTATTAGGTGCATGGACCCTTAGGGCCTTAGGGTTAGCTCGATCCACTCCGAAGTGGAAGATCCTTCGTTGAAGGGACTCACAGCTTCTAAGTATCCTATCGGCAGACCCCATCGAGTCGTACTCACGTGCTCGTACACCCGCAAGAAGCACAGTAACTGCCGCGGTAGTATGAACTTAGCCAGTCGTCTTGCACTTACAACTCTAGCCCCGCAACCCGAAGTTTAGCCTAAACCCTAAACCCTCCAATGTTACATGACTTTTCGGAAAGATGATAGAAATCCTGCATTACCTTAAGGACCCTAAACTATGGGAATTATGGCATATTCCTTATTGCGGGTAATGCAGGATTTATATCATCAACCGTATAACACTGAAACCCTGCTACACCCTAAACCCATAGAACCCTGAAAGGAACACTAGCCCAATCTCCGACATGAAGCTGACAGAAAGAGCCCTGAAGACCCCATGTTCATGCATAGGCAACCCTACCTTAACCCTGAATAACCTACCGCTTTAGGGTTCCTTATTATGATTTCCTTACACAAGTCCTTGGAAAGGTCGGTTATTCCGGGGTAAGGTATACCCTAAACCCTAAACCGTGTCGAAGCATTACCGGATGTCAAATCCATACACTGTCCTTTTTTAGAGAACCCTTACCCTTGAAGAATCCTGAAAGGAACCCTTTAAGGATCTTTTGACGGAACCTAAAGCCCCGAAACCCAAGGCCCAATGCCTGAGCCCTCAGCCAACAAAGCTTACAACCTTGAGCCCTAAACCCTCAAGCCGCACCTTAACCCCAAACCGCTTACCTTTTTCAGGACTTGTATAGGAGTTTCCGAAAATAGGGGACCCTAATATTATACCTTAAATAGCAGGATCCTGATTACAAGGACCCCACGATAAGGTACCCCTATGGCCTAATTTTCGGAAACTCCCATGTAAGGAAACCATAATTGGGAGTATCCACGAGCCAAGCTACCGCTGAGGAATTCTCGCTCTTCTCGGGGGCCGCCATGGCTACTCGCAGCAAGCGATCCCAAAACCTTGCCTTATCCCTAAAAAGGCGGTTTCTAGGATCCTAAAAAGGCGGTTTCTAGGATCCTAAAAAGGCGGTTTCCAGGGCTGTGCTGGAACTCTTCCTAGCTCCTTCTTTGGGGGGGTTCGGGTCTGGGAATTTACATACACTACGCGCAATCCAGGTAGTAAAGCCGTATGTACTGTAGTGATGTGAGTCAAGCATGCTAGTGGTATGGGGTCATAACAAACATCATTGCCAAGGGGACCTGACAGTGCTGGGACTGGGACCGGCTTCGGGGGTACTCGCAGCAAGGGGCTGCACTCAACGGCCTATTGTCCGTGGTTTAAGCCGTGTCTTGCGTACGGTGCTCGTCGAAGAGTCGAAGAATGTCGAAGAAGCGTTTCTTCTTGTTGGGCTGCTGGCCTGCTTGTATGATCCCTTGCAGAGCCTAGCAGGTGCGAATACTCCGAAATGCTAGCATGCCAAGCATACTGCCTTCAGGATGTGTCGCGGTAAGACAGCAAGCCCGCATGCCCGTGCACTTGCAACACGTTTTTTTGATGTTACTTCTGACACCCCTCTGTGCTCTAATCGTGGAGCAAATCAGCAGTAATTGCTGCTTACAAAGTGCCATTCGTGGCTGGATACAAGCACTCAGCTGAGACAGCCACTTGTGGCAAAATTGCGGCTTTGCCGCGGATTGGGGTGGGCTTTTCCGCTGTGCCAAAAACAGCTGCATGGGGCTTTGGTTCACCTGGCACAAACCTCGCTAGCACAAACGTATAGTTGTCCACAGAAGTGAGTGCGCGACTCTATGAGAAAGATGTTGCGCAAGGGAGTGCCCAACGGAGTGCCCACTGCAAAACGAATCCGCGCGGAGAAGAGTCCCCCGGGAAACAACAAGTACACAAGTAAATTCTGACCACTAAACGCCCCTAAACTTCGAAGGATGATATAAATCCTGCATTCCCATAACAAGGAATATGCCATAATTCCCATGGTTTAGGGTCCTTAAGAATATGCAGGATTTATGTCATCAAAAGTTACACCTCATGCGCAGGAGGCCACATGGCCTTTCCTCAATCACTCCAAGCTCTTCAAGCTGAGCATCATTGGGCAAAAACCGCTGACATAGGTTTAGGGCGTCTAGGGCGGGGCGTACGTTCATCGACCATAAGATGCCGGCAAGGAGGAGTGGTGGGCGATGATCTTCAACTCCCCTGTCTTCTTCTTCTCGTAGGCAAAGGTATACTCGACCCCGGTTTCGTTCCCGGTGACGTTGTCGGTGAAGAAGTAGTAGCCCTGTGCCAGCGCGACATCCCCCACACAGGTGGTCTGATTGTTCACAAACTCAACCGCCGACCAAGTCTTACCGGCATTGATAGCAAAGCCTTTGTCTTCAGGGAAGCCTCCTTGCTCCTCCGTGGCGTTGTAGCCGAGGAAGTAAGATGCGGCACCGGAGAATGTCTCGCGGAAGGGATCCTCTATCGCGAGGGTCGGCTTAAATAACACCTTGGACTCGCCGTAATTGTAGAGCTTGCTGATTGCATCCACTGCGATCTGCTCATAGCTTGAGTTAGTCCCGCCCTGCTGATACGCGGCAGAGATGCTCAGGATCGCATCCTTCCATTCTTCTTGAGCTGCCGCAACACGATCCTCGCAGCTGGGGCCGCTGTAACTCCTTTTGAAGCCGCGGCCACGCCACCAAACTGGCTTCATGGGCCAAGGCTTCATCGGCCAAGCACGTGCTTTGATGCTTGCAGCTCCTGTCTGGCCTTCCTGGATCAAATCGGGGGCCGGGGAGGGGCCAGTGCCCGACAGTTCAGGGCCGGAGGGAGCGGTCACCTGAACGGGGTCGGCAGGGGCAGGGGCCGGGGCTGGCGAAGTGGGAGTTGGATCTGGCAGTGGAGCCGGCAGTGAAGAGTGGTGGGCGACGATCTTCAACTCACCTTCCCACATCTTCTTGTACGCGAAGGTGTACTCCACGCCTGTCTCCACTCCGGAGGTTGCATTCTTGAAGTAGTAGTACCCTTGGGCAAGCGCAACATCCCCCACGCAGCTGATCTGGTCATTGAAGAACAAGACCTTTGACCACGTATCACCACCTGCAATGGCAAAGCCTTTATCTTCCGGGATGCCGCCACCGCCGTTGAAGGCCTGCATGGCGTCGTATCCAACGAAGTATGACAATGCACCATCAAAAGTGGGGCGGAAGGGCTCCTCTTCGGCCAGGGTCGGCTTGAAGGTCACCGGCCCAATGTCGTAGCCGTAGAGGTTTTCGATGGCATCAATCGCCACGGTCACAAATTCTCCACTGGAAGTATTCTCCCGGTATGCCGCGGAGATGTCGAGGATGGCTCCCCTCCAGTCCTGCTGCGCTGCACGAACATCATCTTCGCAGTTCCACTTGGGGTAGCCATGCTTTTGCCACCTCCACTCGTCGGCTCCCAGTGCAGTGTGATCTTCCGAAGACTTCATGCGTTGCAACAGCACCGTCTCCTCGTGCGAATCGCAGTCAATACATTCGGCTCCTGCGAGTGGTACACCAAGACCAAGGGTTACTAGCCCAGTCAGAAGCACCGCGTAGCTGATCATTGCAAGCTTGGGGTGTCCGTAGCGGGAGCGAACCCCAATCGAAGGCGGGTGCTTCTGGCTTCGGGACTGTCTTAACTTGAGCAGAGCGGCCAAGGAGTAGAACAGACTCGATCAGCGCTGGATTTCCGATGCAAACATGTGCCGTTGAGAGCGGCCGGTGCTGTTCTTTTTGGACCATGGCTCTCTGTGCAACACTTAAAGGGTCATGGGACCTAGTAACTAGTGTTATAATTAAGGTAACTGTACTTATAATTACTTATAACCCCAATTAAGGTACTTATAACCCTACTTACTAAGTCCCATGATCCTCCAAGCACGCATCGTCTCAGTCTCACACACGCCCTCTTGGAGCAGGAGCTGCCTGGCTTGGAGTTTAGTGCTCAAGCTTACGGTTTAGGGTTTAGGGTTCAGGGTTTAGGGTTTAGGGTTCAGGGTTTAGGGTTTAGGGTTTACGGTTGAGGGTTCCCTAAGCCCTTCTAAGCTGCAGCGTTGCCAGTGCTTGCTGCTTGCAGTCCTTCAAGTTTTCTGGCTCGTGCTACAAGCCGTCGCACTACAACAACTCAAAGCATCATAAGAAACATGGTCGACAATAAATCGCAAATTCATCAGCTTTGTAACAGACAGCACAGGACAGCAAGGCCCTAGTCGCCTAACCCCGAAACACAAATCAATCTTTTATCCCTATGAAGTCCGAGAATACCCGAAGCGTCCATGTACCCATTTAGTCTATACTCAGGCCTTAAGTACCCCTATGTACCTATGTAAGTGCTTAAGGTAAACCCTATATGAGCACATAGACCTAAACCCTAAATCCTTATAGCCCCTAAATACCCTAAATCCTAAACCCCTTAACCCGAAGCCCTACACCCCAAACCCCAAGAATACCCAAGACCAATTGAACGCTGCCCCTCGCATCAGGAGCCGATCTTGCGGAACATGAACGGAAAGCTCAAGGTTCTATATGAACATGGGGTTTAGGTTCTAGGGCGTTAGCGCTTCGTGTTTAACACTTGAGGTTTATGGGGCTTAGGGCTTAAACTTTAGGTTTACGGTGTAGGTGTCTGTAGAATGGCGAATGGTAGACGGTCCTATGATGGGCAATTACCCAATGAAAAAAACTCAATGGTTCAGCTGTGTGTGCGTGTGTGTGTGTTGGCTTGGGGCCGGGGGGGTTCTCAAACTTTTCGCTCAAGGGCGTAGGGCTATTGGGTTTCACACTTGCTCTATGGTTCAGAGGCATTCATGGGAAAATGATATCAGATGTGAGGCACCAGGTAGCTGTAGCCTTGATTCCTCGCTTCTCGTAGCTAATGCAACAGCAACACTTCTTCTCACCACAGCCAGAACCATGAAAAGGAAGCACTCAAGCTGCGCCAGCAGGCGCTGCTGCAAAAAAACAGAGTTAGCATGGCCTGGCGGTCTTTAAGAACCTCTAAATCCCAAAGGGTCCTGGGTATTGTTGTGGGGGATACTTTGGGTACGGCCCCCATACAGTAACAGTCTATAAAATAGGGCCACTGTCGGTATACTTGCATATTACAGTAGTCGTATACTAGTATAGTAGCATACTAGTATAATAACATACTTGTATAGTATATTCACACATTAACAAGTAGTGTATTGTTACATTGGTATATGGGTATATGCTTGTCCTAAAACATCAGTACATGAATGCATTGATACATATCGGCATTTTAAGATAATGGTATTTGTTCTGGTGTGCATTAGCATATGCACGTGTCTTTTGTAATGGTATTAGTCGTCACATCAATATGAATATGACTATTGGTATTCGTAGGAGTATTAATGTCAATATTCGTATTAGGATTATCCATAGTCGCATTAGCCTTAGTATAAGTGTTAATAATGGTATTAATACTGGCATTATCTTGATATTCAACAAGTTATCAATGTCAGTATTAGTATTGGTGACAGCATTGCTGTTAACAGCATAAGAGTATACGCAGTAGTATCCGTAGGAGTATCAATACTTATGTAAATCTTGGTGTTGGTATAAACAGTGTGATTGGTATTAGTAATAGTGCTAGTGCTAGTGCTAGTATTAAAATGAAGTTATGTATTCGCATGAACGTTTGTCTTATATTAGTATTACTCCTGATTACATGAAAATACTAACAGATAAATACATGCATGAGCTAATGTATTTGTACTTTAGTATAGTGGTATGTATATTTATGTACATTGGTATATGCAGGTGTGTACTAGTATTGGTATTGAGATACACTACTACCGATATGGGCATAATTATTGATATGCGTAGGAGTATGAACGTCAGCATTAATCATTATTAGTATTTGTATGGTGCCTATTCGTATTGGCTTAAAAAAGTGTGAATATTCGTGTTAATGCTGGTATTAGCTTGGGCAGTCAGCAAATGATCAATGTCAGTATTTGTATTGGTAATAGTATTCGTAGGAGTACCATTTTTTTAAGTATATATATAAACACTGACAATCGTCTAAACAGACCTTGCCTTTGCAAGTGAGTCATAGTGCATGGTCTGTCATCCGAAGGGTCACAATCAGCCCATTGAAAATCAATTCCAGAAGTTCCAAAATTTCCAAAATTTCCGAAATATTGCCAAGGGGACTTAACAGTGCTGGGACCGGCCCGGGGGGTGCTCGCAGCATAAGGGGCTGCACTCAACGGCCCGTTGTCCGTGGTTTAAGCCGTGTCTTGCGTACGTTGCTCGTCGAAGAGTCGAAGAATGTCGAACCAGCGTTTCTTCTTGTTGGGCTGCTGGCCTGCTTGTATGATCCCTTGCAGAGCCTAGCAGGTGCGAATACTCCAAAATGCTGGCATGCCATGTATACTGCCTTCAGGATGTGTCGCGGTAAGACAGCAAGCCCGCATGCCCGTGCACTTGCAACACTGTTTTTTGATGTTACTTCTGACACCCCTCTGTGCTCCAATCGTGGCGCAAAACAGCAGTAATTGCTGCTTACTATAAAGTGCCATTTGTGGCTGGATACTAGCAATCAGCTGAGACAGCCACTTGTGGCAAAATTGCGGCTTTGCCGCGGATTGGGGTGGGCTTTTCCGCTGTGCCAAAGAACAGCTGCATGGGGCTTTGGTTCACCTGGCACAAACCTCGCTAACACAAACGTATAGTTGTCCACAGAAGTGAGTGCGCCACTCTATGAGAAAGATGTTGCGCAAGGGAGTGCCCAACGGAGTGCCCACTACAAAACGAATCCGTGCGGAGAAGAGTGCCCCGGGAAACAACAAGTACACAAGGAAATTCTGACCACTAAACGCCCTAAACTGCGGAGGATGCTATAAATCCTGCATTACCCTTCAAGCTGAGCATCATTGGGCAAAAACCGCTGACATAGGTTTAGGGTGTCTAGGGCGCGGCATACGTTCATCGACCATAAGATGCCGGCAAGGAGGAGTGGTGGGCAATGATCTTCAACTCCCCTGTCTTCCTCTTCTCGTAGGCAAAGGTATACTCGACCCCGGTTTCGTTCTCGGTGACTGCGTCGGTGAAGAAGTAGTAGCCCTGTGCTAGCGCGACATCCCCCACACAGGTGGTCTGATTGTTCACAAATCTGACGGCCGACCAAGTCTTTCCGCCATTGATGGCGAAGCCTTTGTCTTCAGGGAAGCCTCCTTGCTCCTCCGTGGCGTTGTAGCCGAGGAAGTAAGATGCGGCACCGGAGAATGTCTCGCGGAAGGGATCCTCTATCGCGAGGGTCGGCTTAAATAACACCTTGGACTTGCCGTAATTGTAGAGCTTGCTGATTGCATCCACTGCGATCTGCTCATAGCTTGAATTAGTCCCGCCCTGCTCATACGCGGCAGAGATGCTCAGGATCGCATCCTTCCATTCTTCTTGAGCTGCCGCAACACGATCCTCGCAGCTGGGGCCGCTGTAACTCCTTTTGAAGCCGCGGCCACGCCACCAAACTGGCTTCATCGGCCAAGCACGTGCTTTAATGCCCACATGCCCTGTCTGGCCTTCCTGGATAAAATCGCCCCCATCAAGGGCAGGAGGCGAAGTGGGAGTTGGATCAGGCAGCGGAGCCGGCAGGGATGAGTGGTGGGCGACGATCTTCAACTCACCTCCCGGCATCTTCTTGTACGCGAAGGTGTACTCCACGCCTGTCTCCACCCCGGAGGTTGCATTCTTGAAGTAGTAGTACCCTTGGGCAAGCGCAACATCCCCCACGCAGCTGATCTGGTCATTGAAAAACAAGACCTTTGACCACGCATCACCACCATTAATGGCAAAGCCTTTATCTTCCGGGATGCCGCCTCCGCCGTTGAAGGCCTGCATGGCGTCGTATCCAACGAAGTATGACAACGCACCATCGAAAGTGGGGCGGAAGGGCTCCTCTTCGGCCAGGGTCGGCTTGAAGGTCACCGGCCCAATGTCGTAGCCGTAAAGCATTTCGATGGCATCACTCGCCACGGTCACAAAGTCTCCACTGGAAGTATTCCTGGGTTCCCCAGTAGCCCCTTCATAGTGAGGGCACCCTGTTTGCGTACTATATGGTTTCAAGAAGGGAGCCCAAAAAGCAAGCGGCAAAAGGGTACGGTACTGCTCGGGAACCTAGAAATTTAGCCCCAAGCCCCTAAACCCTCAACCCCTCTTGAGGGAGCCTTTAAAGGATCCCTTAAAGGAGCCCTACATAAACCTTCAGGGGCTGAGCACCCTAGCCCAGAAGAGGTTAACCTTGTCAATCGGATTCTATAAACCCCAAAAGCTTAAAGGTTACCTATTCAGAACCACTGAACCCCAAAAACCCGGCTAGATTCTCGAGGTATGCGGCGGAGATGTCGAGGATGGCTCCCCTCCAGTCCTGCTGCGCTGCACGAACATCATCTTCGCAGTTCCACTTGGGGTAGCCATGCTTTTGCCACCTCCACTCGTCGGCTTCCAGTGCCTAGTTCATTGTTGGGATTGGATTAAAAATGAACATGTTTATTCCTTATTGGTTTAGATACCCATAAACATGTAAAATGTTACCCAACTATGACAAAGGTGCAGTGTGATCTTCCGAAGACTTCATGCGCTGCAACAGCACCGTCTCCTCGTGCGAAGCACAGTCGATGCATTCGGCTCCTGCGAGTGGTACACCCAGGCCAAGGGTTACTTAAAGGGTCCTGGGACTTAGTACCCCAGGTTATAATTGAGGTAACTATACTTATAATTACTTATATCCCCAATTAGGGTACTTATAACCCTGCTTACCAAGTCCCATGACCCTCCAAGTAAACCCTAATAAAGCTTATATGCCCTATAGATCCTTTTAAGGAACCCTATATTTAGATCCATTTAAGGAGCCCTACTTACTAAGTCCCATGATCCTCCAAGTACTAGTCCGGTAAGAAGCACCGAGTAGCTGATCATTGCAAGCTTGGGGTGTCCGTAGCGGGAGCGAACCCCAATCGAAGGCGGGTGCTTCTGGCTTCGGGACTGTCTTAACTTGAGCAGAGTGGCGAAGGAGTAGAGCAGACTCGATCAGTGCAGTTGATGATGGGATCCTGCCGTCTCTCATTCTATAGTACAAGAAACCAATAATTATGCATATCATACATATATAATATTTGCTCTAGAGTATACCGTGATATATGACAATACTGCATTTCGCCGCTCCGATGACGACTCTTCTAACGATACCTCGTTGCAAGCATGTGCCGCACTGGTGTTCTTTTTTGACCCAGCCAGTTGGGAGTTTCCGAAAAATAGGGGTACCTTATTTTGGGGGCCTTAGAATAAGGATCCGACCATTTAGGATATTGTATTAAAGGGTCCCCTACTTTCGAAAAACTCCCAGTTCGTGCAACAGGCATCGTCTCAGTCTGACACAGCCCCTTGGAGCAGGAGCTGCCTGGCTTGGGATTGAGTGTCTCAGTTTAGGGCTTTAGGCTTCCCTAACCCTGGCTCAGGGTTTACGTGTAGGGTGCGGCCTTGAACAGGTTCGGCGCTTGCAGTGGATGCAAGTGTTGGGTCCCATGCTGCATGCCACCGCACGATAACGACTCTCGAAATTAAAGGAAACCGTTGTCACAATGGTTCTCATATAATCATACTACTTTAAAAGCAGAACTGCGAAGCAGGAACTCTGAAGCACAAAAACATGTGCCAGTGGTGAAAGTAAACATTGAAACCAGGTTACTCATAGGGAAGAGGGGGGCGAGAATGAGATTTAGGGTGTAGGCCTTAAGGCAAAAGCCAGAAAGTTGGAATATGATTATCCTAAGCCTTCTATGGTAAATTATGGGGTATCCTACCATGAAACCATATTCCAACTTTCTGGAGTTCCCTGTAGGGCCTTACAGCTTGAATAACTGAAGTAGCAGGATATCTAGCGCCCTAAACC